GCAGCTCAGGCTTCTGCCTTTTACCCAACTGGTACCCTCTCAGGGATTCAGTTTCCCCATCTTCCCGCTGGGGCCTGGCCCCTTTCAGCCCTGCATTTGGCGATTGTGCCGGTGGCTGGGGCCTGGGCGGCAGGGCAGGCCGCACCAAGCTGACTGGATTGGGCTCTCCTGGGGCCGGGCACCCAGCCCTGGGGCCCATGGGGCGCCATATCTGGGTGTTCAGTAGTCCCTAGAGCCCAGACCCAGGTGCCTTCCCGGGCTGAGAAGCACACCTCCCAGCCCCCCAGGCCTCAAGCTCACCCTTCACCCCCAGCCCCCTCCCTGCCCAGGGTTTCCTCGGCGACATCTCTGCCCAGCAGTCCCTCCTGTCCCCCGGTGACGAAGGCCCCAGAGTGTGAGGGGCACAGGAGTCTTCTGCCTGCGGAGTCTGTGGCTGGGCCTCAGTTTCCCCATCTGTCAATGGGGGTGACAGTGGGATAAAGTGCAGGCACCTGGTGAGGTCTCCCACTGAACACTTGTGCCAAACGCAGAGGGAGGCGCTGTTACCGACCTTGGACAGATGAGGAAACTGAGGCACAGAGAGACGTGAGCTAGAAGGGGTGGAGGAGCTGGGGGAGGGGACTCAGGTCTCCCAGGGCTGGGTCAGCCCTGTCCCCAGGAGCCGGGCTCCCACACAGCCCAGGAAAGCCAGGGCAGGGCTGAGGGCAGCCTGGCAAGGCCTCACAGCCCCTACTTGGCTGAGAGAGTGGCTTTGCCTCTACCAGCCTTCTTCTCTGTTCCTGCGCCATGGGGGCTGGCGAGGCGGCTCTGAGCTTCTGCTCCCCTCTGCCTGTGAGATCTGGGGCCAGTTGCTTAATCGCTCTGGCCTTCAGTCCCATCCTGTCCCAGCCCGTCCTGTGTCCCCCTCAACCCTGCCTCCTCCTCACGACTCTCAGAGGCCAGTTCTGAGGCTCGGAGAGATTAAGTGACTTGCCCAAAGCCACCAGCCAGCTTGTGGGCAGGATTTCTGGGAAGAGAAATCCCAGAAGGGGGTGAGCAGTGAAGGAGGAATGGGGGGGTGGGGGGAGATGGAGGGGCGGGCCCACGGCCGGTCAGGGTCTCCCGCCCTCTGGCAGGGGCATAGCTGCCCCCCTCTCCCCCTGGCCACAGGCCTCCTCGTGTTCCTGTAAATAATTAATTAGCCCCTGCTTGCTTGTTTGTTTAGCGTGAGGAATGCTGCCCCACTGAGATGCGTTTATTGCTGAATAAATTTAAATATCTAATCTTCCCTTCATGAATATTACAGCACCCTAAATGGCGGCCAACACACCCCGAGCACCTTGGCAAATGGCCCCGGCGGGAGACTGCCCGCCTTCCGCCCCTGCTGGCTGCAGCCCCTGCCCTCTCCCCGTGCCCTCCCGACCCCGGACTTGTGGGCAGGGGCTGGCTGTGAGCTGAAGGCCCTGAGGCTGAGTGCGGGGTGTGATGAAGCTGTGCTGTTGGCAGGAGGCTGGGGTGGGGTCCTAAGCAGGGGGGCTGGGCTTATGTGGGGGAAGGGCCTGGGACCAGGGCGGAGGGTCATGGCTGGAGCAGAGGGCGGAAGGGAGCATCTGAGGAGCCCAGGAAGGAGGCAGGAGAGATCGGGGAGGCAGGAGGATGGAGAGGGGGTCTCGAAGGCAGCCCTGCTGTGGGCGCAGCTTAACAGTCAAGCCAGATGAGTGGCCCAGACCACTCAGCAATGGGAGGCCCCCGAAGCAGTCCCTCTGCTGGGAGGCGCATGCGTTGATATGGGGAGGGGGACGGGAGCCACCCTGCAAGACCCGGCAGTGAGGAGGGTGTGGAGACAGCAGGCGTAAGCAATGTCTTCCAAAAGTGTTTGACAAGGAGGGCAGACAGAGCCAGATAGCCCAGGGTGGGAGGGAGGTTGGGGTGGGAAGGGAGAGACAGGCCCTTTCACGGTCCTAGAGGAAGGAGAGTGGTCCAGCTGTGTGCCCTTGGGCAAGTGGCTCACCCTCTCTGTGCCTCGATTTCTACTTCTCTAAAGCAGGAAAAATAAGAGCCCCTCCGAGGGTGGCTGTGAGGATCAAAGACAACGGTGGATGTCAATTGCTCAGCGCCCGGCAGGGGCTCAATAAGAGGCTGTTGAGGCTGAAATTAAGGCGCCAGATCGAGGAGCTTAAAGGTGGAGGAGCGGGGAGGGGGCTGAGGGAGGAGGCAGAGCGGCCTCGGGGAATCTTCTGGTGGAGGAAGGGTTCAGCTGTGACCTGGTGGAGAGACACCTGAGGAAGGCCCCATTGCCCGCGTGGGTTCAGTCTCCCCGGGAGAGACCCCGGTTTCTGCTGACTCGGGGGGGGGGGGTGGGGGCTGAGCTGGAGGACTGAGGTTTGGATGTGGCTGAGGGCCCAGGGAGGGGCCCGAGGGTCAGCTGGTATGAAGTGAGGACACCCCCTCCCACCAGGGGCCAGGGCTGAGGGCTTTTTCCAGCTGCCCAGAGTCAGGTGGGGAGGGGGGAGGAGGGACGTCTCCCTCGGATGGGACCCCAGGACGCCTCCTCCTGGTCTCTGAGGCTCAGCTCAGCCCAACATGGGAGCCAGAACAGGGCCTGGGGTCAGAGCCAGGGCAGCTGCAGGTTGTGTGGGAGACAGGGGAAGGGGTGGCCCTTTGGGATCTGGCTAAGGACAGCAGGGCGCGGGGTCCCCTCTGGCACTCAGAAGTAGGAGAGCAACAGGGCTGGTGTGTGGACAGGGACGGGGGCAGGCGGAGGGGGCCAGGCTGCCGCGACCCTGAATGCAGCGCCAGTCTGTGCTCTGGCTTGTTGGAGGGAGGGTGGGGCAGGGGTGGGGCAGGGGTGGGGCCTGCCCCTCATCTCTGCTTTGGGGAAACTGCTCTCCCGAGGCCTGCACAGCAGTCACATGGTCCCCGCCCAGTTCTGGCCGCTGCTGGAGAGGCTCCAGCCCAAGGCCTCTGCTAGCTCCCTCCTCCTCCCACCTCGTGCCCCCAGGTCAGCCCCAAGGGCCTGGCTGCAGGCCTGTCCACTTCTGCAGGAAACATTAAGTCCCTGAAACGCAGCTCCACTTCCGCAGGGCCCCACAGTGGGCTGAGGTCGCCTGCAGGGCGGATAGCACGGGGAGATGGCAGGCGGCCGGGTGCCAAGTGGCTGACACCAGGAAAGCCGGCTCAGACACACCCCTGTGCCCACCCCCATACACCCTGAGCACACCTTGCCTGATCTCCCGCCTCCATTACACTCTCAGGTGCACACACATGGAGCACATCCCCATACTGCCACACTGTCCTACTAACAGCCAACACGCACATCGCCTTCACCCGTGCCAAGCACTGGCTTAAGCACCTTCCAGGAATTAAGTCGCTTAATCCTTCCGATAGCCCTATGGGGGGGGTGGGCAAGTGTCTACTATTATGCCATTTTCCAGATGGGACAATTGAGGTCCAGAGAGGTTAAGTGATGCACCCTGGTCTCACATCTGTGACCGGCAGAGCTGGGATTTGAACCCAGGCTGCCCAGCTCCACAGCCCCTGCTGTTGCACAGAGTGCTGGCTGGTCCTGACACCCCACGCAGAGGGGACACACTGCGCAGGAACACAACACACCCGCTTTGCGGCACCTGGACGCGCAGCGCGCCGGCCGCCGCGGGCCCTACTCTCCGCTCCTCCCAGGGCTGCAGCGGCCCTTAGCCCCGCCCAGGAGAGGACGGGGCGGGGACCCAGTGCCGCAGCCCCTCCCAGGGTTCCCCCAGCATCCACCCCACCCCTGGGATGCTCCGGGAAATCGCCTGGTGCCTGCTTCAGTGAAGTCGCAAAATTAGGTTTAATTGGGCCCCACAGGGCACAAAAGAAAACAGAAGAAAGAGGGGGTAGTCCAGCTGGTGTCCCTGGACCTGTGCCAAGACGTTGGGGGTGGGGCCGTGATGAAGGAGGAAGGGCCTGGTTTGCGCATCTGTAAAATGGGGAAGTGATGGTCTTTCCCTGCTGCCCGGCAGTGTGAGCGCCCGGCGGCTGGTGCCCAAGGAGCTGCTGGCACAGGCCGGGGTGTGATCGGAGCTCGGGAGCTGCCGGGGGTGCGTCACGTCCTCCTGGCCAGGATGCCAACTCCCACGCTGAGGAGGGGTCACTGACCCTACTTTCCAGATGAGGCCGTGGACGCTCGGAGACGGGAAGGGACTTGCCAATGTGCCCCATTGTCACAGCCCATGAGGGGCGAGTCCGGACTTGATCCGGGCCTGCCCGCGGCCGAGCCGCCTCTCCTGCCGGGGCCCCTCCGGCCGTGGCGCCGAGGCGAGGTGGGGCCGAGGAAGCGTCTCCTCCGCGCCTCCCGCCGCGCCCGAGTTGTTTATGTGGGCCGGGGTCCCCAGGGTCCCTGGCGAGGCCCGGGAGCCGCCCGTGGAAAAACAAGCCCAGGCCTGGCTCCAATTAAGCCGGATGCGCTAACAAGGCGGCTCGGTAACGAGCAGGGCTGCGCGCCTGCAGACACCTGCGCGGCCTTGGGCCACCTCCCCGCGTGGCGCAGGGAAGGGTCTGGAAGACACAGGATCAAGGTCTGGACCGGATCTGCCACTTGTAACTAGGTGGCCTCGCTTTCCCCATCTGTAAAGTGGGACCTAGAGTTTGGCGCGGCCCCGAGGGCCTCGTCCGGGGAGGTCAGCTTTGGGGTCGGGTGCGCGGTGTGGATCGGCGCTCCCGGGCTCCTCGTGCGGAGGCCGCGACTGGTTGCGGACCCCGCCGCGCGTGCAGGCCGCAGCCGGGAGGGCGGACTTCCCGCAGCCGCGCCCTCGCCCCTACGGCGCGGCAGGGAAAGAGCAGGGCGGGCCGGGCGCGCCCCCTGCCGGCCGCCCCGCGCCGCTTCCCGCCAGGCCCGCTGCCGCCGCGCTCTGCGCCTCGGTTTCCCCAGATGTGAAACAAGTCGGGGGCGGGGGTGATGGGTGGGCCTCAGCCTTCTCCTCCGTAAACGGGCTTGGGGAGACGCGGGGAGCCCCGCGGCTCACTGCCCCGCTCCCCTGCAGTGGACGGGTGCATTCACCGGGCCGCCGGACCCCTGCTCACCGACGAGTGCCGGACCCTGCAGAGCTGCGAGACCGGCAAGGCCAAGATCACCTGCGGCTACCGGCTGCCGGCCAAGTGTGAGTCCCCGACACCCCCCCACCGTGGGGCGCAGAGGGGGCGCCTTGTGTCATTTGGGGTTTAGGGGTGCAGCCCACACGGAATTGCTGGAGGCCTCCTCAGGGGCCACGTCTTAACCTGGAGCTCCAGGACCTGGTCCCTCCTCGCGCACCCCAGGAAGCAGGTTGGGGGAGAGGGGAGGCGGGGAGGCTGGGGAGGGGCAGGGACCTGAAAGGAGGGGAAGAGCTAAGGGGGCCCCGCCTTCGCGCACCCACTGGCGCCCCATGTCTCGGCCGGGTCCATACAGATGCGGGCAGAGGGCCCAGCGCGGGCCTGCGCGTGTCTATGAGGTTTGGGCTGGCGGGTCAGTGTGCACGCGCGGATTTAGGCTCAAGCGCACACCTCCGTGCCCACATGGATGGGGTCCTCCCTCGGGGAGTCTCAGGACTTGGCGGGGAGAGGGCCTGTCTCCTGTCCCCTCCAGGGCCCAGGCCGGCAGGGGGAGAGAGCCGAGGACTGCGTGGAGACCCCGGCCGCTCTGAGCCCGTCGCCTCCCGCAGATGTCATCCACACGGTGGGGCCCATCGCCCACGGGGAGCCCAGCGCCAGCCAGGCTGCCGAGCTCCGCAGCTGCTACCTGAACAGCCTCGACCTGCTGCTGGAGCATCGGCTCCGCTCGGTGGTGAGGGGCGGGCGCCGGGGGGGCGGGGCAGGGCGGCCTGGAGCTGGGGAGGCGGGCGGGGAGGGACGCTGACCCCCATCCCCTCTCGCTCCCGCGCCGGCTCCAGGCCTTCCCCTGCATCTCCACCGGCGTGTTCGGTGAGTGGGGTCTGGAGAAGGGCGGGCG